AATCTCCTCCTCATGCTCTAGGGAAACATAGTAATTTCCTTAGAAAAAATGTCTCCAGTCTGCAAGTTGGAATCCTTCAATTTAAGTGAACCAGCCGGTAGAGTCCAAAACTATTCGTCAATCTATGAACTTTTTTAAAACCAAGATATAACCCTTCTTCAAGTATAAAATTTGGCGAAGGCGAAATTTCTTAGTAACCAAATGAGTACAAGAAAGGATAAAAATTTAAAATTGCTTTGTAAATCAATGAGAAAAATGCACACTATTTAAGTAGCCATTTTTGCACAACCTGCATCTTGCAGGAGGTCAGGAAAAAGCTCGATCAAACGCCGGCACTGTGGCATGACTGACACACCATGACAGTGGCCTGTACGATAATCAGTGTCACAACGCTAATTAATTAATCTGTTCAAAAGTAAAGCACGTTTAGAACTTCTTTTGATATTTCATGCGACAAGGCATCTAGTGTAAACAGAAAAAATTTAATGACTGGGCTACGTGTGTCGCCCAGGGATTTCTTCGTAAATTTTGCGCGTACAAAGTTCACAGTGATGCGGGATTTGGGATAAAGAAGGGATAAAGTGAAAGCCATATGGACAGAAAGCAGTAAGCGTCAGACAGTCATGTTGAAGGACAGAAATGTTCCCCTGAGATGTTCACACCTTCTCATCTGCTACACGTTGGGCTTCACAGGAGCGTAATATGGTTTTATTTGCGGACTATGAGAACAAATTCAACTACCGTGAGGAAGAGTATTTAAAGTCCTATGCCAAGGATGAACACCTCACTGGTCTTCTTTAAAAAGTACAGTATGGCCTAGAATTCATGTAACATGCCGACATAAGCGAAAGATTGATACCCTTTTGCTAATCGGTATCGAGGAAGGTAGTAATACTGATTATCATGTAGGCTTTTCTGAAGTCATTTTGGTCACAATATGAGGTCGACTGTTTATCGAGCTTTTTTCCGACCGCTAACAAAACGCATATACTGTAGAAGGTGGCTACTTAAGTAGTATGCATTTTTATCATTGATTTTGACCGCCTTTATAAATTCAAATATATTTCATGGATAGAGTACACGAAAAAATCCTTTCTTGTACTCATTTGGTAGAAAATTATACCTTCTTTAAATTTATACTTAAAGAAAGGGTATCTGTCCATTAAAAAAGTTTCTAACTTGCCGAATCATTTTAAACTAACTGACTGCTACACTTGAATTCAGGTTTGAAAAACTGCGCGCTCTCTACATCCCGTTTAAGGAAATATACGTTTTCGCCTACGGTTTTAGGATGAAGTCACAAAGTTGTCATGAAATGTTGCAATAGATATGAATCATGCCGCATAGCCAGCATTAATAAATTGACGGATACAATGCATAATGAATGAATACTTCACAATTGTAAAAAGCTCATAATTCGAAAACTTTTTTGAAAACCGAATAATGGACTTTCTTTAAGTATAAAATTGAAAGCAGGCTTAATTTCCTACCGAAAAACTACAGTTAATACTTTTTTTGTACATTTCTTCCATAAACAATATTTGAATTTATAAATACGGTCATAATCAATTATAAAATGCACCCTGCTTAAGTAGCCACTTTTTACAGAACATAAGTTTTTTAGCGGTCAGAACGAAGGTCCTTAAAAAGCTGGTAGCCTATCGTGAGGGAAATGACTTCAAAATAGACTACATGATAATCAGTATTACAACCCGACTCAATGTTGCTTAACGAAAATGTATCCAAATTATTGCTTCAAATTATTTTAAACCATCATTAATTTTGAAAAACAATGCATGGACTAATAAACAGACTCTGTCAGTACAGATGCAAGCACACTTAGGTTTATGAAGCTAGTACTGCTAGTAATCTATTTTTCTAATGAAGTTATCCTCTAAATACAAAATACTTTCACGAAGTGATATTTTTTGGAAAAAAGCTGCGCAGAAAATGGAGCAGAAAAATCCATACATGGCGAGTAGGCACGCTTGGTCGCATAAGGTTTTCTCTTTCGCCTAGCACAATTTCTGACGTTAGGCCAGAAATTTCAATCAGGCACGTAAATAAACGTTGAACAAGTTTACGAAGTTTTAGTGTATTTTAGTGCGCCATAGCCTTGTGCCCTTTTTATTTTTGAATGATCCATTAAAATGCAAGTACCTTTAATCCTGTATTAAGTTACTTGCATAAAAATGAAACAATTTAAACCAAGTGGCTAAATTCTACAGAAATTGCCAATTTGCCGTGAAAGCAGTCGATATGCAGTTCCAAATTTTTGTGGCAGGAATGCATGGTTTATCTTCGTGCTTTCTTTACGTGTCAGCGATGGGCATCAAACTTTTTAAAAAGTATGTGAGCGCGTCTCGTTACAGAAAATAAGGAAAGATGGGTGTTATGGAATTAATTTTTCATCCATTCTACATGAATTATAGCTCCAAACTAGAAGGACTCTTACCATTGCGGTGTAGAAGGTTGTTATGGCCCCCATTCCGAGAATTGTAAACAATAGATTTGCACTGGTCACTGAAAATGAGAACTCACAGTTCAGTAGGTGAAAGTGATATTGTTTTCCAAAATTCACCCTGATTTCCGTTGGCTGCGAGAGGTGGTCTTTAAACTTCGTATTTATTTAACTGTTAATCCACTTGATGCTTGAGGTCTTGTGCGATCACCATTGCCTATGGCATGCGAATAAACTGAGCACTATGAAGTCACTCGTGTGAGTCGCCAGTTACTTGAGTCCTAGTTCACGGGTCCCCAGTCTACAAACAGGTGCAACGACCTATCCACTCCATATTCGGTGCTGAGGCTCAAATTGGCTAAAACAAGTTGACACTTATAATTGCCATAAGTTTACAGTACCATAGAGACTGTATCCTGCGAATACTGCATCTCCTTGTGCAGGAATTGCCCGTTTAGGTTGTTGTCTCTGACGAAAGGATCGGCAAAGTCACTATTATTGTCAATTTAGCGGCTATTAAAAACACTTCGGAATATTTAGTTGTTGACAAATATTGAAATCTCGCAATTTTTAAGCTGTAAATGGCTACATTTCTCGCAAATTCGCCAAGAGTTTCATCTAGACCATACGCAAATCCCAACATACCACGATCACTGCTTGATAAACCCTGAATTGAGCCACTGCATATAGTTCAGTTGCTTTCGCTCATATATTTGGACAGGTCTTGTCATTTCATTGATTATTAAAATAACTTCGATTTGTATGTAAACGTTACTTAGATTCAATGAAGTTTTTCAACCACTGAAAAGTAAGACCCATTTTAATATCCTGCCCTCCATACAAAATCTAGGTACGATAAGTTTGTTGAGGAATGACCTATGCTTGGCATGATTTCGATCAAATTTATATGATGGTATGGAATTTGACTAACAGTGATGAATTTGTGAGGAATAAAAGATAGCAGAGAATACGACAGAACATACTTGCGCTCAAGGCAACTGCTGGGGCAAACAAACTTGCTCCGACGTAAAATATCTGGAGATCGAGAATAAAAGGAAAGCAATTAACAATACATTAAATATTTGAAAAAAATATCCACACGGAATGTGGTCTTTTTAAAGTTCCACGACAGGCAGTTAAAGCGATACAATGACGAGTAAAGGGGTCAATTAATAAAGAACCGTATCGACGGCGTTATTATGTTCGTGGTTCATACCTAACACCAACGGCCTTCGTCGGACAGATTTTTGGTCGAGAAAGTCAGTTTACGATTCCATACCAATCAGTATAGTAGCGTGAAAGAACAACAAAATATGGCAAATTGGTGTACTGACACCCACTTCCTAGTGTATGCACCACTAAATATTTCGAAAAAATGTCACTTCTTAGTAGCATTTACTTTATAACTCTGGAGTTTAAATGTAAAAGGAAAGTGGGATGCCACATGCCAGAAAAATCTTGCGAAAGTTTAGAAAAGAAAAATTGATAATAAAAGAAATATCAACTCACCATCTGTACAATAAATGTAATGGTGGCCATAATCTTGGCAACCACACCGAACCGCAACTCAAAGTACTAAAATGACAGGATCAAATCACCAAATCTACAAGTAACCTGGTTAATGCTGTATAATTTCAGATTGTAAAGAACAGGCATGTAGAGTTCGGAAACCAAGGGATGAAGAGCACATTGGGCAAGCAAGTTACACGACAATGAGAGTCCGTAGAGATAGACTTCCAAATGGTTTCCCAACATGCTTGCTGCTGAGAGAAAACTGGCCACTGTACTGGCCATAATTGGCAGCACGCCCAGCTTGCGATTGGCCAGAAAAATCTCATCTGCGGTCTGCGGCTTCACCTCTTTGATTGGTCGTCCCAGGCATCGATTAAAGAGGTTATTGATCTGCGTTGACCATCGGAAGTAAAGACCAACCAGGGTGTAAACGAACAGAAAGAGCGCAAATACGAAGTAATCGGACCAGTGAAGTGCCTCTTCCATTTGTGAGCTGCGTGAGATATATGCCAGACACCCCTAAAAATGACCTTTTATACAATTTTTTAGGTTCCTTTTCATTGGCTCAGTCGGTGCGACTAGGTCGCTTTTGAGCACGTAATGTGCCACAACGTCACGTTGAAAATCTGCTTATCTGCTAATAGGCCTGCTCCGGATGAAAGGCAGAAAGTGCTCAAATATAACCTTGAGCCAGTTATGGGGGGATGACGTAGGAAACAATTTGCGGGGGAGGGAGGGTAATAACAGGAGGCTGGCAAGCAGAACTCAGCTAAAAAACCTCGGTGATGGATGTGTGCGAACCTCGAACAGTTCGTCATCTGAAGAGCCTTTATTGCGCCTTTCGGTTCAACTGCACTTAATTGGCGAGGGCAGATCATATGCCTCAATGATTGTTAAGTTTCGGAGAGAAAAAATGCGCGAAAAGATGGTAAAGATCCGTTTACCACCAATGGTAACCTGCCGTGCAATTTCTGGAGTAAATTGTGTAAAGCGGTCTTTTATTACCGACAAGTATTGGGTTTAGGCTAAGAGGAGAATCAATTAGTTGAAGCAATAGGTCATAAGCAGTAGAAGCTTTACAAATTGAGATTCAGGAAATAAAAAGGTACCGATTACACATCGTGCTCGTTTAATGACACACCTCTGTTTGAACTCAAAATGATTTCTCCTACCCGTCGAACAGCTACAGAAGTTGCTATCGTCTTACGTCGTGGGAAGGATTTCAAAAAAACATAACCTAAAGTCTTCGTTAGAAAAAGTATTTATGATGGTCAGATACAGCCACAAGGGACAGAAATGAGAGGAGGTTACACAAAAACTAAGTAGATTTTAAATGTAGAATCGTATACGTATGAAAGGAAACTTCTTGTGAACATCAATGTCTTGTACGGTGTTCGTGAATTCTGCAGCACCAAGAAGAGGACCCTTCGGATAGTTACCACTTCGTTGCGGCACCTTGCACTAATCGCTTTAGATGAAGTGCTGGACGTCAAAAAAGAGCACAGAACTACAGCTCGAGACAAAAAGTTTAGTTATTTTGTTATTCAAACCACATCGTCGTGCAAATGAACACTAACTCGCACATCTTGTCGATACGAATCATCGAGTCGATACTAACGAAGCCTTTCAGGTTGTCTACCGGACACCAGCTTTCTTTTTCAAGAGCCTGCGCCAACGGGTGCTTGCAACAGCTGAAACAGTGGCTATAAGGCTAGTTAAACTAGTGCC